CAAACACTAGTCTAGATTGAAACAGTTTTGTTGAGGCTTTTGAATAATAACGATCAAACTAACGAAGTTTAGATGTATTGTGTTTGGAATATTATAAAGAGAAATGTATGTCGAAATAAATAAAAAAGACGCTGAGCTTTAATGATTAAGGTAATATGTAAAAAATTATATTGTATAAACCGCATGTAAAGTAATAAGAAATGTATAAGAAAATAAATTTTCCAGTTGCTGAAGAAGTCCCAATAAAGGGACGAAACGTCCAACTTAATTAAATTAAGTTCTACTTCTTTTCATGTTAAGTTTTAAGTTTAAGTTTCGAAAACCTGATTGGGCTCATCCCTCGTGTACCCTACGTTCACTTAAATAGAGGAGTTCGTGAACTCACAAGCCCGCGCACTTGAGCGGATGTAATTCACCAACACTCAACCATGGATCTAAAAGTCTCAACCCTTCAGAAAGCTGGCTACAGCTTATCAAGTCACAACTTCACAGGACGACATTTAAGCGAACTCATGGTCATACCATAGTGACTGCTGTGAATGCAAGCACTTCATAGACTCCATAGTGTTGTGCCCGCAATTCAGAACACTAAACATCGTTGCGCGACGCAACATAGCGTCGAACTCAAAGTTGTGCTATAACTGCTTGGGACGTCACAGTGCGAACTCGTGTCGATCATCGTTGTGCTGCAAGCATTGTGGAGCAAAGCACCATACAATGCTCTACGAATCAGGAAGCCAAAAGCCGGCAATCTCATCGAGGAGCGAAACAACGTCCTCAATTTCATCAGCAACTCGTTAGGACCCTGGTGCAATCGTCAACACAGCATCCTTTTCATGCACTTATCATTAAACGCTGCTTGCATTTGCAATCGTCAAGGTTCGCACGCAAGTTACCACTTATCATGCTCGTCTACTCATCGATCTTGGTTCTGAACTAACTTTTATCTCCGAACAACTCACCCGCCAGCACAACATCAACCGCCTGCACTCATCTATACAAATCATTGGTATTGGAGGAAAGAGAAAAACTCAAACCCACGGTATTGTAAATCTCATCACAGTACTCACCAAGTACCAGAAGACTTCAGTGCGCATGAAACATGCAGCAATATTGCTATGATACTCACGCTTTACTACGCTCATCGTAGAACACTCGCATCTACGTATTCATGATGGAGGCGTTTAAATTACTCTTGTTGACACAAATCAATCATATAAAGTGGAACATTTGAAACATGTATCATATACATGTTCCGAAAACCATTCCAGGAGGTGTTCAAGAAACTATTCAAGATGATGTTCATGAATCTGTTTCTGAAAATGTTCCAGAACATGATTCAAAAACTGTTCCAGAAGCAGCTCAAACAATAGAAACAACTATTAATCAACAAACTAATTCAACTTTAACCCTTAGGATGCTATTGACGCATATATGCGCCTGGCGAGAGCTATCGGTGTTGACTAAGGACACATATTCGTTTTCTGTAAGAGACCGGCATGAACTACGGACGCATATATGTGTTTGTCAATTTTTTCGAGCACCTACGCAAATGTAATACCATTATTCGTGTATGAGATAAATATAAATGCATTCCTTAACAACAACAGTAAACAAATGCCAACAATGTCTTGTTATAACAATTGCCTGCGTGTTTCGCGGACAGTCGAATCTGTTTCGCGAACCGAGGCAAATCTTGTTACTTGCAAGATTTGTGATCGTAGTAGTGATACAACATATTACGATAGTGCCCTATATAATTTATTTGATTATCTTTTACTCGTGACACCCTTAAAAATGGCAAGTAATATTGAAGAATATTTTACAAGAAACGACAGCGAAATAAAAGATTACGATTCAGGCGATTCGATGAATGATGTGTACCAGCTCGATCCACCATCATGAGGCAGTGAAGAATTGATCGATCAATGAAGAATAAATAGAAAACGGCACAGAACACTAAGTACATCCTCGGAAAAGAATACTTCAGAAGTACCTGCAAATATCGAGACCTCCCACAAAACAGGAATATTATTGTGGTCAAAAACGAATTTACAGTCTAAACTACATATCTTTGACAAACAAAATGCAGGAGTAAAAGGAAATCTGAACCCAAAATCAATACCTTTATTCGCCTTTCAAATGATATTTTCGGAAAAATTAGTCGCTCAAATTACCAAGCAGACAAACAATTATTTCAAATGCGTACAACAGTATACAGCATATAAAATGAATTCCCGTTTGACGAACTGGAAGGATGCTTCAGTCCCTGAAATATACGTATTTTTATACATTTCAATGCTAATGGCACGTTCGAAGAAACTGTCTTTGAGAGAATATTGGTCTACGGACGAACTGTGGAAAAGGAATATTTTCCGGAAAATAATGGCTCGAGATCGATACATGGTGTTATTACAGATGTTACACTTCAACGATAATAATACAGCAAGTGACGATCCTTCTAGCAAACATACGGCCACTAATAGATAAATTAAAGATTTTCTTATCGCAGTCTGTTTGAAATGTTCCCTTGCCGTAGGTACGCTGGGAACGATAGGATTCGCTACAAAGGTCTTAGCAAT